ATCCCCCGAGTACCGCCCACCCCCCGAGTACCGCCTTCCCAGTCCAGCAACCCTTCCTCCAATAAACCTCAGCCCGGCTTCTCTTCATACTGTGCTCAATATAACGGCCGGTCCATTCCTAGGGGTAAGCTACACTCGTGGCAGTCTCCAGAGATCCCGGAAAGTACAGGTCACCCATAGCAATGTTTTGGGCCACGGCACACAGATATGGACAGAAGCTGGCCAGCACCACATCGGAGGAAGGTGACCATCATCCCAGCTGGGCTGTACTCGGGGGACCGATAGGATTTATTGAAGCAAAACAAACGACAAACGCACTCAACAATTTGTTACCAGTTATACAGTGAGGTGCACACGAAATGGGCTTTGAACAGTAGAACAGTAGAAAGGCATCATGGCACACTCACGAACCAGCATGTAAAACAACTTGTCTCACCACTAAGGACAATGACAGAGGTTTGGATACACGTCTTCTGCAAAGGATGTGTAAGCCGCACTGCCGCGCCAAGGCACCTCTTATAGTGCGGTCCTTAGTGGTGAGACAAGTTGTTTTACATGCTAGTTTGTGAGTGTGCCATGATGCCTTTCTACTGTTCTAGGATTTATTGAAGGACACCTTCTTAAAAAGGTGACATTGCACTTCAAAGTCCTTCTGCCCACCAAACTGCCAACTGTACTTGTGGTTATAGAGTGACAACACTCCCTCAACTCCTCCCATAGAGCAGCAGCGTTGTCACCCTTCCACTGCAGGACTACAGGTCCTCTGTGCCGGGAGTCCCCGTGATGTCCCTATAGCAGTGGGAAGTGCAAGGAGGAGCTCTGAGAATTTCAGTCCAGACTTACTGACAGACACTTGTGCAGGCCGGCCATGCACAGGACAGACGGGGAAAGGGGGCGATCATGTGACCACTAGAAGGGAGCGCAGAATATGGTCCACGGCGTACAACTGGCCCAATGAACGCAGAACAAAACATTTTTTCTAATGCGGAAAAAACATTCGCAGTGCGACATGAGCGTCAGAAATAGAAGATTCCTCTTTGCCGTAATTCACAGAATTAGTGCGACAAATCGCTGAAAAGATTGCACGCGTTTTGGGTGCAGCGGATAAACGCATTAGTGCGCCAAGCAGAAGATGGCCGGACTCCCTACCAACCACGGGCTCTGCGACATCAAAGATCATTTGTTACAATTTGCCACTTTTTTGCAACAATTTGGCACGTCCGCCATTTCTCACACGATCACGCGTCAGGTCCAGTGCAGGGGTTGTATGATCAGAATACGCGCCACCGCGAAGCATATGGCACCCATGTGCCAATGATGTCACCCGTGCCATGGGCGGAGCCAGGTACTAAAGGGAGACTATTGTGCTCCATGGAGACGGGGCGATGAACAGCTAAGATTAAATCACGCCGTGCACTTCGCGGTGGCGCGTATACTGATCATACAATCCCCGCACTGGACCTGACACATGGTCATGTGAGAAATGGCGGGCGTGACAAATTGTTGCAAAAAAGTAGCAAATTGTAACAAATGATCTTTGATGTCGCAGGGCCCGTGGTTGGTAGGGAGTCCGGCGTCCATCATCTTCTGCTTGGCGCACTAATGCGTTTATACAACCCCCCAGGAGGTGCCAGCTATGTGGTGACGAGTTGCGCTGGGGACAGGAAAGGCGGAGCCTACCTGCAGAGGAGGAAGGCCGTTACCTGTATTTGGAGAAGCGGTGACTTCCAGAGAGTCGCCATTCGCACTCAGTGCGCTGGCGATACCATGTGGAAGGTACGGTGATCGCTTTTACCTGGGGGGGCTCAGTCATATCGTCCCGCAGAGGGCCGATCTCCATTAAAGGGCACCTGTCATGCTGGGAGGCAGCAAGAGGCACCCATACCGGGTACAGGACAAGCCATGACTGTAACTGCATAACAAATGACGCCATGATGGGTAAGCAACATCCGCCGTCTGTGTCTGGCACTCCTACTGTCAGTAAAGAGCACCGGTCATAGAAGCCCCACCAACAGGGCGGTGACATCGATTGGAGGGGGTGATGACGATCTGAATCCAGCTCCATTAAAGTGCACCTGTCCATGCACACACTGGGTACCCAGCCAATAGCATGGGGGGGGGGG